GTCCTCTTCTCTCTCTCTGCCTACGGTTTACCGGGCAGTTCTATTTGTGACGATATATATATATATATATATATATATATATATATATATATATATATATATCGTCAAATAGAATATATATCAGTAACTAACGAACGGCAGGATTCGGGCGCATGATCTGCTTATCAATGGCTGTATGTGTGTCCCGCTCAAACCAGCTGTTGAACTTTTCCCCTTCTTTTGGATTTAATTGTTGAAATGCCCCTGAAAGAAGTTCGGGTATTTCGTCAGATACCCCTAAGAGGCATGGGTATCGTGAAATGCCCTTGAAAGTTCGGGTATTTTGTCAGATATCCCTAAGAGGCAAGGGTATATGCAAATTGGACCTGTCATCTCTTGCATATACCCGGACCGAGCCCTGGGCAACCAGCTGTTGGACTTTTCTCCTTCTTTTTGGATTAAATTGTTGAAATGCCCCTGAAAGTTTTCGGGTATTTTGTCTGATACCCCTAAGAGGCATGGGTATGGTGAAATGCCCCTATGACAGTAGTCAAACTTTGCGCCGAAATAACCCACTCGCCAATTGGACCTGTCATCTTTTGCATATACCCCGACCGAGCCCTGGGCAACTAAGCCGCAACTTGTCTATATGCCCCATTATTTTAGGCCACTGGACCTACCCGGCAGATTGCAAAAGGAATATATGGGCAGAGCAGCCAGGGCCAGGGCATATGGCAAAGTTGCCAATGGGCAGGACAGGGGATATTGCATAAGTTTGGGGCATTTCAGCATTTAGGGGTATCGAACTAAATACCGAAAGTTTTAGGGGTATTTCAACAGTCTTCTCATTTTCTCTCCAAAAATGCCCAGCCTCAAGGTCACCAGCCCATACGTACGGAGGTCCCTGGGCCGACCTCCATACGTACGGGCGTTCAGGGTCCCGTTCGGGGTCCGAACCCGAAGGCGTTTGGCCCCCGCCAAATAAGAATTAACAATCGCCAAAGATGGCGGTGTCAAAATGTGCTCGGCCAGTTTTTTTTTCACTTTGTGCTTTTTGTTTTCACTTTAGTTCGGGATCTATATATATATATATATATATATATATATATATATATATATATATATATATATATATATAT